TCCACTACACTCCTATAACATGCTAGTAATAGTAAGGTTTAGGAAATGACATCCACGACAATTACTCGCAAGTTGCTGGGTCGAGGACTTTCTATTACCCGATCAGTGGCGAGGAAGATAAAAGTAAAAAGTGTAACTAAGAAAGGTGACGTCACACCATCCCTCTCGCCTTAGCACAAATAAAATATAAAAACTATAAATATCACAGACGTGGAGATCTGGAAGCCTAGCACAGAAATTGAAAAGCATATTTTCAAGAAACACGTAGGGAAAATTGGAGATATTATTTGCATTTGGTGACTGCTGTCTTCCACACGCACAGCTTGTCTTCATTACTGTCCATCAGCAAATCAGTTGTCTGAAATTCTGAAATATGTTTCTTCAACTCCCCTACACCCCTCTTACAGTACAACAGCTGGCGTAAAGGTCAATGTTAAAAAAGTTTCATAAACATGATCACTATAAAAATAAGTTTTTCAAAAGTAGACAAATCAATTCACCATATCTGACAAAATTTAATACTGTATACATATAAGATTCTACTGCTGCTATGCAATAAAGATTTTATTAAATTTTGATAAAAAAAATCAGCGGTAGTGTTCTTGGTATATTTCTAACATAACTCGGTCTCTGCCAGCTGGGTTATGTTTACATCTGATGTTGGTTAGGCTGTCCAAGCAATCCGGCTCATCATAAGTGAAATTGACATTGATCGACAGTTTCTTTCATCATGCTTGGTCATAGTGTCAGAGTTAGATTAAGACAGCTATTTGCATATTCTGATGTACTGTTACAAAATATATCAGTGTCTAGTCAAGTGTTAAGGCCAGGGTTACGTTCAGTGCCACTGGGTGGGGTATACACCACCCTGTATGGCACTACAACCAGGCACTGTGGGGTTCCGTATCTAGGGCCATACACAGACAGAGTTTTGAGGCACACACATTTGAGTTTTGGCAAGCTTTCTTGTTATCCCTTGGCCAGATTAAGTACATCCACAGTGGACATGAAGATAAGACCAAAAGACTTAAGTAAAACGGATGGGTCAGGCAATAGCATTGACCTAAAGAAAACTCGGCAGTACAATTCACCTCTGATTATTCTCATTGATACTGAGGGTATGTTGTTAGTAGCGTTTATGAGAAGTGTGGTACTTTACTTGTCGGCTTCGGCAGTTTTAACGTGCTATTTCATTATTTAGGGGAGTTTTATATTCCTTGAACCACTTTATTTCTTGGTTAGGAAAGTTGTTGTAATCATTGAGATTAATCCCCCTCTTGTTTGGAAGAGATTATGGTAACTTTTTACTCTTTGCAGCTTTTATTAATCATCTAGGTTCATCTAAATATATTGTATGAGTTTGAAAAAAAAAAGTGCATTTTAGTGGTGCTACCTTATTGATGGTTTGTTTTCATAGAGATTTTTCACTAAAACATCTATTAATTTGTAGACTGCGAATCTGGCAGTGGAAAAATGAAAAACTACTTGGAATAATTTTTTTAGCAGAACAGCCAGTAGTCGGTAGTAGGCAGCTACCAAACAGGTAGGTACTACTGCCTGGGAAGATAGTGGAACCATAAGGTGTTCTCTAATGGTAGACCCTGCTGCCATATGGCATCACGAAAATTATGACCAAGTCCCAGGTTGCTGAGCTGCCTTTCTGCCTCATTTACATGCAATTGCAGGGTTTCAATTGTTTCTCTCACTTTGACAACACAGCATACATATATCGTTTCTCACTACTGATTTTTTATTTATTTTTGTATTTCTTTATGGTTTATTATTATTATTATTATTATTATTATTATTATTACATCGTTATTATTATTTTTAATATTATTTTATTTTTAATTTGTATTTTTATTATAAATTTTATTTACAATGAATTATTATTATTATTATTATTATTATTATTATTATTATTATTATTATTATTATTAATTTTTCGTCCCCAGGCCCTGATGTGGGTCATTGACCTGTGCCCGGGTGGGCTAATCCCTGTAAAAGAAAAAAAAGCATGCACATGTGTGCCTTTGACAAACTAAGGACAATCATTGAAATATGATTGCTTTTCGCAGGAACAGACCATCGAGTAATTTTAGTGGCTTGATAAATCCCCCCTATTGTTCCTAATAAGTTTGTTAGGTAATTATTGATGACTGACCTGTGGCCAATTTTTCATAGAAAACGATTATAAAAACCCTGCAATTTCACTGTGTTATTTAGTGGAGACTGTCGTACTTTGTGCAAATGTGTTAAAAAGTGGTTATTTCTAAATTAAATGTAACCTAACCTTAGTTGATATGAAAAACAAGCAGCAGAAGCATTGTTATAAGACCTCACCAACCCAACCAAGCAAACCTACTTACCCCCCGATATATTGAACAGAAAACTTATGATATGGTGTAATTTTAAATTTTTGTGGATGTGAGAACAGCCGTCCATACCGAACGGTTCTTAAGCATACACTAAGCATCGGTGTTGATCAAGCCCGGGCGGCAGTGTTTTGAAATACGTCAATTTGATTGGCTGTTTACACCCTGGCATGAGACGTCACCACTGCATTACTGCCTAGGCACCTAATTATCTACCAAACAAAGCATTTGCACAAGAAATGATTATCGTATCAGAACTCACTGATGAAAATAAAGGAAGAAAGTAAACAGTAAAACAAATAACTCGTCTGTGGGTCAGTTGTCAATATTAACCATTTGTTTTTCATGAGTTCTGTGTTTGTGGTTACACTACATTTGTAATACACTTACTGTATATCTTTTATGGTGTGTAAACTATGAAAGTTATTGTAGATACAGTAAAGTATGTCAGATGAAATCTGCTCTATGATGTAATCTATCTTATGTAAGACCTGGATAGTCTAAATCCCCATTCTGTGTTTGCCCATGCTCTACTCTTGATGAGTTATAACGTCATCTCTTGTGTATTGTCAGCAGTCTCAACACCTCCAAACTTATATCTTCACTTCCAAATTTCACACTTTCTCTTGCTATTCTATATTGTACCTTTATTATACGAAATTAGCTCATTTATTTAAGAATACTACTGTAGATAGAATAATTTAGCGTTAATTTAATTTTTCCACATAATACTTGTGAGTAAATGAGGAGAAATTGGACAATCAGGCATTGGACGAGCTGACCGTTCTGGGTAAACACAAGAAATACACTCTTCCACGTTCATAGAGTGATACGGTATATATAATTTGTAATAAGTCTAAATTCCTGCTAGAATAGTAGAGATAAGTTTATTTCTCTAGAAACGGCCGCCATATGTGATGTCACCACTTAACCTGTAGACGATGGAGTCAATTTAGAAGTACTGTAATGACATTGTCTGGACTTTGTTTTGAGAATGACAACATAGTGCTGTTATTTTTTTTTTGATGATTCACTAATGAACCACTGGGATATATCATCATTTATATTAATTAATGGGTAAAATTTTACTTTTAACTACCATAAGTATTTGGATGCCTAGATTCGAGATAGGCTATATTGGGTAAATTTAAGTTTTGGTAAACCCTGTACAGTACTTAAACATGCAGACTATATTTTTTTCTGATGGTTTGCGATATGTTATGAACGATTTAGACCTTCATTTTTATCGGAAATCACTGGTTTTTAGTTACTACCCCCCTCCTCTTGCCATTGTATGTTAAGCTAACCTTATAACTCACCATACCCTAAACTAACCTAACCTAATATATGACCTGTATTTTCTTATGCGATCAAAAAATGTTTTGCGACAGAATCCCTTAGAGATAATGAATGTTTTGCGACAGAAATCCCTTAGAGATAATGAATGTTTTGCGACAGAAATCCCTTAGAAGTAATGTGTCTTAATATTTAAAGTACTGTACAAGTACTTAATCCCATAGTTAGAATCTTAAGGTTCCCCAGATGACCAAAACCAAAATAATACCAATATTGTTTGGAATGTTTATACTGTACTATGAAATTTGTAATAGGGGCAGCTAATATCCGTTGAATTTGTTAATGTGCTTAGTAATATTTATATATTCAAATAGCATTACTATGTTGCACAGTAAAGCACAATTAATTATCTAATACAGTACAGTGGTCCCTCGGTTAACAAACACAATTCGTTCCAGAAGGTCGTTCGTTAACCAAAAATTTCTTTAACTGAAACCATTATTTCAATGGGATTTTGGGTAATTGGTTCCAGCTCACCGAAAATTACATACAAACTAAAAATAAATGCAGTAAAGTACACTTATTTGAGGTGTGTATGTAGAAGGCTCCTGGTTGATGATGAAGATGATGGGAATTAGAAGTGAAGGAGGAGGAGAAGGGAGAAGAGAAGGAAGTGTGGTGGAGGAGAAATCACCCCATGCTTCATGTGTCATTTCACCCATAAAATTTTAAGTTCACTAGGTGTAATTCAAGATTATTTTCTTTAAGTCAACACTGCACTGTACTATATATTGTCAATATGTAAAATAAATTTCAGAATGACCAATAATTGTACTGTAAAAACTTAAAAATAGTTTATGTTCAAGAGAGTCTCAAGCAAGATGCTTCCTCCACTGAGCAGGGGTCTAGGACAACTGGCCGCCGCCATCTGGCCGCAGCCCATGAAGTACCTAACCTAACCTAACCTAACCTGCCTTGAGAGCGCAAAATTAGGCGTTTGCAGTTTACCCCCAGTCCGCGGCGGCCAGATGGCGGCGGCCAGTTGTCCCATTCCCACTGAGCAGAGACACAAACTGACGCCATTCTGGGTGAGTCAAGTGGCTGTTTGGCGTGCTAAAACCTAGTTCCCTGTACTTCAATTATGTTAAATAATTGTTAAAATGACTAAAAATTTTAATATAAGACTTGGAAAATTATTGAATAGTACAACCTTCTTGATATTTACTCAAATGGTAACGAATTTAAACCCTAAAACCGATTACTGTATTGGCGGACTAATACTCCAGCTGGTGAGTAGGCGAAAGCAGGCGAAAACATGTTGACACGATTTCGTAAGGAATTCGTTAACCGAATTGAATGTTCTCATGGAAGGTAATTCGTTAACCAAGGGATCACTGTGATATTTATTTACAGAGCCTATCAGCTGAGAAGATTGGACAATTACTTCCAGGGTTCATCAAGGCAGATGAAAGAAATTTACCAAAAGTAGATGTCTTTATGATAGTAGAGTATTATCAAGAACTCGGCCATCCAGCTATGAAGCACGTTAAATTACATCTGTCATCTGATAATCTCAAGCCCATTCCCTGGCCATGGTCATCCCTAGTCCTTCCACAACATTAAATATAGACATCACTGACGAAAACTTACATTTTCCAGACATGAAATGGAGAACAGTGATGAAAACTTCCATGTTGGAGTTATCGGTCTTTTGCATTATTTTAGCACCAAGCAAGTAAATACACACGATACTTGAGCAGTAATTTATTTTAATCTAAAATTAAGGTATGCCTGTTTATATCAACATTGTATATGGCCACAAGTCCTGTATTTCTGCTGGTAACAACACATACACCACAGCTGGCTGGGTGGCTCCCACTAGTCAGTGACATCACAACCAATCACAGCTTTTCGCAGTCACATGACTTTTTATCAACTTTAACCCTTATTTTTTTTTACGGTTTTTGGCCTAATATATTTAAAAATATCATTACTGTTACTGCCCATGAGAAGAACCAGGAGATGTTTAAGTTTTGGCAGTTACTGAGTAGTGAATAGTGAAGGTGTTGAGAAAGGTAATGAGTGGAGGTGCCAGGCATGTGTTTACAGAAGGGAGACGCTGGAATTTGCTGATCTGTTAATAAGAAAAAGACGACGCCTGGTGCCTCGGTGGTTTCCTCTGCTGTGAGGGTCAGTAAACGCTTTGGAGCCATACAGGGAACACCCCTATCTCTCCTTAAGACCCTTACACTTAAGTCTGTTTACGGAACATTAGTGCATACATGAGATCCCACCATTGTATTAGTGTGATATCAAAATGATGTTTACTTACGGTATGTGTAATAATTGTTGTTGACAATAACCCTCTGTAGTTGTATTATTATGATATCAAAATGATATTTGCTTGCGTGTAATAATTGTTGTTGACAGGTTTTGACCGAATTATATTCTTTGTGTCCACTTGCAGGGTCTCCTTATCCTGTGATCTCATTAAGGGTGATTACAATTACCATAGTGAATTTAAGCGATTTCTTTATCCATTGACCTGCCATCTTACGAAAAAATTCTGACCATCTACTCGTCCATTGGCAGAATGTCTGTTTGAATAGTGGTGTGACAAATCTATTTGTCCTTACATTTGAGGAATGTTATATTGTTTGGTAATTGTAAGAAAATGATGACACATTGAAAGCTTATTTGTAGAATTATTAACATTGAGTGTTAGAGAATAATGAAATAAGTTACTGTGCAGCTAGTGTTTGTAGAAACTCATTGTTTAACAAAAGTGACACGGGTACTACTGTACTGTAGCTACTCTTGATTTACTACATGCTTTTCTTGGATATATGATCATGATAGTATCCACTTGACATAAGTACTGTAAACATTTTATGGAAGCCCATTGGTCCCCAAATTTTCAATTGGTTGATACTTTACTGTCATGTGGCCATCATTGTAGTACAGGGAGGTATTACCGACTGGGAAGATATTGGAAGCATAATGTATTGTCTAATGGTAGACCCTGCTGCCACATGGCATCACGAAAATTGTGACCAAGTCCCAGGTTGCTGAACTGAGTTTCTGGCTCATTTACACACAATTGCAGGGTCTCAATTGTTTCTCTTACTAATGACAACACAACATACATGCAGCTGCTTCGCGACTTACGACGGGGTTAGGGATCCAAATCCAGGTCGTAAGTCGATTGGTTGCAAGCCGAAAATGCTTAGATAATGCATAGAAAATCTAAAATGGGTATCTCTTTTTCTTCTCAGCACCACAAAAGTCTCACTTTTAAGCTTGCCAGCCATTTTAAAGTGAATTACAAACGAAAATTTTGTCAGAACACAGAGCAATCAGTAATGTTGGGACTCGAAAATATGTAATTTGACAAAATTTTGGTATGACTGAGGCAGTCGTAGGTCGAGTAGTACCTGTAGTACAGGAAGTCCCCGACTTACGACCGACTCGACTTACGTCCACCCGCACTTACGACTGCCTCAGTTGTACCAAAATGTGTTCAAATTATGTATTTTTGAGTCCCAAAATCAGTACACAGACAAAATTTTCATCTGTAATTCACTTTAAAATGGCTGGCAAGCTTAAAAGTGAGTGTTTTGTGGTGCTGAGAAGAAAAAAAGACCCAAATTTTCTATTTTCTATGTGTTATTTAAGCATTTCCGACTTAGGACCATTTCGACTTACGAACCTGAATGTCGGTCCCTAACCCCGTCGTAAGTCGGGGTGTACCTGTATATTGTTCCTCACTTTTAATCTTTTTTTTCATTTTTGTATTTCTTTATGGTTCTTTATTATTATTATTATTATTATTATTATTATTATTATTATTATTATTATTACAGTAGTCCCTCGGTTAACTAGCACAATTCGTTCCAGCAGGTTGCTCGTTAACCGAAACCATTGTTTCAATAGGTTTTTGGGTAATTGGTTCCAGCTCACCGAAAATTGCCTAAATTCAACAAAAAGGGTAGAAAAGTACACTTACTATGAGGTGTGTATGTAGAATGCTCCTGGATGATGATGATGATGATGATGGGAATTAGAATGGGGGTGGAGGAGAAGGGAGAAGAGAAGGCATTGGGGTGGAAGAGAAGTCACCCCATGGCACCATTTCACCCATAAAATTTTAGTTCTCTTGGTGTAATTCAAGATTATTTTCTTTAAATCAATACTGCACTGCTTTATATATTGTCAATATGTAAAATAAATTTCAAAATGACCAATAATTTGCTTGGAAACACAGAAAAAAAGCGTTTAGTTGAAGAGAGTCTCAAGCAAGATGTTACCTCCACTGAAAACAGAGAGAGACTAACGCCTGTCTGGTGTGTTAACAAGCTGCATGGCACGCCAGAAACTAGTTTCTTTACCTTCAATTATGTTCAATAATTGTTAAAATGACTAAAAAAGTTAATATTAAACTTTTAAAATTATTGAATAGTATAAACTTCTTGATATTTACTAAAATAGTAAGGAATTTAAGCCCTAAAACCGATTACTGTATTGGCGGACTAATACTACAGCTGGTGGACCGCCAAATGCAAGCGAAAACATGTTGAAGTCCGCTCGTAAAAAACTCGTTAATCGAGGGATTGCTCGTTAACCGAAGTTAAGAATCTTATGGAAGGTAAATCGTTAACCGAGGGATCACTGTACTACTACTACTTTTTTGCCCCCCAGGCCCCGATGTGGGTCAGTGACCTGTGCCTAATCCTGTATAAAAAAAAAAAAAAAAAAAAAAATATAAATATATATATATATATATATATATATATATATATATATATATATATATATATATATATATATATATATATATATATATATATATATATATATATATATATATATATACACAGTGGTCCCTCGGTTAACGAGCGCCTCGGTTAACGAGTTGCCTTCTATAAGATTCTTAACTTCGGTTAACGAGCAATCCCTCGATTAACGAGTTTCTTACGGGCCAACCTGAACATGATTTCGCTTGCATTTGGCGGTCCACCAGCTGTAGTATTAGTCCGCCAATACAGTAATCGGTTCTAGGGCTTAAATTCCTTACCATTTTAGCAAGTATCAAGAAGTTTATACTTTCAATAATTTTAAAAGTTTAATATTAAATTTTTTACTCATTTTAACAATTATTGAACATAATTGAAGGTTATGAAACTAGTTTTATGCGTGCCATCCAGCCTCTCAACACACCATACAGGCGTCAGTCTTTGTATCTTTTCAGTGGAGGTAACATCTTGCTTGAGACTCTCTTCAACTAAATGCCTTTTTTCTGTTTTTGCAAGCAAATTTTTAGTCATTTTAAAATTTATTTTACATATTGACAATATATAATGCAGTGCAGTGTTCATTTAAAGAAAATAATCTTGAATTGCACCAAGAAAACTAAAATTTCATGGGTGAAATGGCACCATGGGGTGACTTCTCTTCCACCCCAATGCCTTCTCTTCTCCCTTCTCCACCCCCATTCTAATTCCCATCATCATTATCCAGGAGCCTTCTACATACACACCTCAAAGTAAGTGTACTTTTCTACCTTTTTTGTTAAATTTAGGCAATTTTCGGTGAGCTGGAACCAATTACCCAAAAGCCCATTGAAACAATGGTTTCGGTTAACGAGCAGCCTTCTAGAACGGATTGTGCTCGTTAACCGAGGGACCACTGTATGTATGTATGTATGTATGTATGTATATATATATATATATATATATATATATATATATATATATATATATATATATATATATATATATATATATATATATATATATATATATATATATATATATATACTTGAATCATTTTGTATTATAAGAGAAATTTTTTTATGGTAAAACTCATTTGTTTCAGAGAAGGTTTCATCTGTCAGTCTCACACAGGCAGAAAGAATGGCCAAACGACGAGATTTGAAATTGGTTAAGGTTGAGGATCCCTCATTGAAGAGTCAAGATAAACAAGTTTACAAGTTAATGACGGGTAAACAATATTTTGAAGAGGAGGTGAAGGCCAAGAAAAGCTCCAAATCATCACCATCTTCAAAGGTCTTATGTTATTTTAAGTAATTTTGTACACTGTAGAATATAAACAAATTCTTTTCATATTTTGCAAGTCATTCTCTCTTGTCTTACCAAATTTAAGTTGACATATAGGAGTTTAATCCTTAAAGGGCAGTCATCATCAATGGAAGTTTCATGTTCCCTGTGTTCCTTTTGCACTTGTGGGGGTGTGGAGAATCCCTAGCTGCTGATATAGGTTTAAAACAATACCGATCATCTATACTGTATGAGAAACATAAGTTACCTGTATTTTAAGTTCTGTAATTTATTCTATGGTCATATATTAGAGAAATATGTGGCAAGTCACTAAAAGCAATAATGGATCACATGGCAGTTTTATACTTTCAGGGAGAAAAAATACTGACAATGTCTGGGAAGATTGCTGCACATGACTTGAAACCAAAACTTCAAAGCATCCATAAGTGGTTGGATAAAGGACACCAAATCAGAGTTACAGTGACATCTAGAGGAGCAACAAAAGGAGACTTGGTAAGATTGTATTCTGTAGTTGGGTAGAGAAATAAGAAAACATAATAAGAAAGTATGTGTAACAATATTTCTAGGTCTTAAAACACTGTATAGGGTGTTTTACTGTATTACACTATAGTAAACGTGACCAAAGAAAGAAAACTCAGTGCTGAAATCGATGCCAGAAATAACTTTCAACTATTCTTTGAATTCTCAAAATGATAAATTTCGATTGGAGGCTGAAGCCAATCATTGAGTAACCATTTCACTTTTAATGTAATTATATTTAAAACCTATCTCGATTCACACTTTTGCTGTATTTCCTGCACTTGCCATTTTATTCTGCTACCGCCAGATGATTTTATTCAGCTTGGGGGTAAACTCCCGCAGCCAAAGGGTTAAGTTCTTATTTTGTAAAATGTGTATACAGTAATTGTATCATAAATTTGACAAGTCTAGTCTTTCATGTAGCTTTCTGATTTTGATACAGTAATTTCACAAACATGTTGAATCCAGAATATCTAATGTACAGTACTTGTACGTATATGCAAAAGGACTCGGAAATTTATGGTTGCCATGTTGTCATTGTCAGCAGTAACACTGCTGACAATGTTCAGTTTAGAAAATACCACGACAGGAATTTCATTATACTTCTGCAACCTTGGCTTTGGGGATAAGATTCATTTGGAATAAATCCTTCATCTTAAAATGTAAAAGGCAAATACTGTACCATAAAAGAGGAAGAAGGTGGTAAATGTGTTCACCTCTACTACCCCAAACAGTTGGAAATAGAGCATTACTTTATATTGATGGATTGTTATTAGATACAGTATTTGAATCACATGAAGATTAGCATCTAAGTTTATTTTACCTAAATTGGGGAGCTAATCTTCATGTGATGTGATATCTAAGAAATCACTTTTATATGATCCATGAATTATATTCATGTGATACTTTGTTGTACTTACTGTCTGGTCTTTATCTTCACTGATAATAAATTTTTTATGTTGACTAATCCATGAATTTATTGTATTCTTTAAAAATTTGGATCTGTCTTATTCTCTTCACAGGAAAGTGTTTATGGGACAATAGAACAAGAGGTTAAGAGCAACAAAGGTCGTGTCTTACAGCTACGAGAAAAGTTTGGAGATTTTAAATTTACCATCGTTCCGTCCAAAGTGGAAAAGACCTCAAACCAGACTCTCGGTGAATCTTCAGAAAGGACTCATGATAGTGATCATAATGTGACTCATTAAGCTTCAGAACCAATGAAGAGTTAAGTTTTAGTTGGTGTACTGTATATGTTACAACTGTTGCTAACATAGTACAGTACTTTAGTTCAAATTAGTTATGAGAGAAGCTCGTTAATTGTTGAATATTACTTTGTAATTTAAATATCTATGACGCAGCTCTATAACCATACCAGGAAAGTTTTTAAAGCAGGAAGATGCCAGTAATAGTTTAAATGTCAAATGTTCTGTTAATAACCTCGGTTCATAAAACTGTCTGGATCAGTGATATTAGATGTCACAATACAGAGTTCTATCTCTCATAATTTGTAATGTTGTTGGACTAGTGTATTACTAATCTGGCTCACACTTAAAGACCTTCGTTGTTCAAGCGCAGTTATAACATTATAAAACAACAATATATCATTGAAAGTATACTGTACTGTACTGTAATTGAATAAGTTAATAATAAAACTGAAATGGTTGATGAATTTTGGGGAAGTGAATGAGCAAAATTAAAGGGAAGACCAAATGTGAGGTGAGGTGACTTTGTTGAGGAAGTCAGATATGCTATGTTATATGTCAGCTGTCAGGCATCACAGTAGAGTACATTTGAATAGATTAAAGTCTTTTGAAAAAGTATTTGTTAGTTTTTAAATGAAGTTCAGTTTTGGAGGCAGAGTTCAGTACCCATTTATTTGAGGAATTTGGCTATGTATTCTGTTTATGATACTAAACAATATGTGGCAATTTGTACAGAAATTTCATAGTTATAAATACAGTCAGTTCTGCTATAACGCTATACTGTAGTTGTGTTCTTGTAAAATATCGTGTTATAGAAAATCGCGTAATAGAAATAACAGGGCTTATGGAGAAAATAGGGTTAGGTGCAGATTACTACTCAAAATCGAAAAAAAATTAGTAGTTAGCCTAACACAAAGGATAGCACAGTCTAAATAAATGTTACATTCATATCTAATAATGAAATCATACAGTTAATGTAACACTTTACCTTGAAAAAATATGAATATAACTTGATGGGGGAGAAGGGTGATTTTGAGGTTGATAACATCGAGCTTCTCTTCAAGTGTTATATCCTTTCTTTAACGATCATCACCGGGAATTCGATCACCAGAACGCTTCTTGGAGATATTCTTCTTTACCATATTCACAGTTAATACCACAAAATTGGAGAAATAGTAAGCAAAAATCGCGTTACAGCAAACAAGCGTTCGCGTTATACAAATATCGTTCCTCTATTCATAAATCGCGTTAGAGCAAATTCGCGTTATCAAAACACGCGTTATAGCAGAACTCACTGTACATTACTTTTTAATAAAATGAACAATCAAAATCATGGTATTGTTTAAATTAAGCAAATACAATAATTTAATAAAAGGAAAAGCCTTGTAGGATGATCATTATTGGCTTCAAGCATCATAATAAGACTGGATGCAGATTTAACAATGCAAAAACCATGCACTATAAGTAGCACAAGAGGAATTGCTGAAGACAAATGGGCATTAAATCAAATCCTTTATTACAAATAAAACAAAATTATAAAATCTGAAGAAAATGAAGATATCCACAACAGTTAAACTAATAAACACAGACACATTCTACATTATTCCCAATCTACACATAGAGAAAATTTTCATCATAAAATTTAAGTAATCTATATGTAATGTTCACAATAATAAAATACGCCGTTTGGAACGCTCACCACATTGTCTAATCTACATACTATATACACCTAATCAAGTGTATTTAAAGACATTAACTGGATGTACGGTACTGTCCAACAGCTTTGCTAAGAATTTAAACATGTATAAAGGTATTTTTGAACACACAATGTGAACAAATTAGTTTTTAACAATAAAAAACTGCATATTATTGTAAAACAATTATGAGTGTATTGTTCAACAATTCCACTTTCTGTCTGGAGTGATTAGCAGTGCTTCAATGCACTGTCATACACTGACTGGAAAAAAGAAACAATGCAAATATAAATGAATACTACTACCTAGACTCACAACAGGACAGTATATACAATAATATTTACATTTACAGCTGATTCAACAAGACCTTTAACAAGAAGCACACTTGTGAAAATACAATCAAAACTGTGCACTTACCTATACTGTATAGCAATACAAAATGGGACAAGTTACTTACACCTCCATACATAACAATCATACACAATATGAAAACTATTTTGAGTACTTAAGCACATCTCATCTCCATCAAAACAGACAAAAAGAGAACAGCTATCCAGGATATCCTAAATACAGTGATCATCTATTTAACAATATCTATGATTATTGGAAGAATATGCTACTTGAAGGACTTTTGATTGCCTCTAGTCCACAGGTAAACAGACTTTGCCAACATCATCAGCATTTGCACGTGATCTAATCGTGTCTTGTATACACAGTTCAAGTACTGTACCGGTATAAGCATATGGGACTCATAATTATGAGTTAAGGTACAGTATATACAAAACCTTTGTTTTGAAAAATATAAATTCATTATATTTCTTCCTCACACTGTGTGCTATGATCAACATGATACAAGACAGCTTTTTAATCTTTGGATATAAGGGTTAGAACAAAGTCCCAGTCGCAGCACATTCATATGGAGTGGGTAACACTCGTACTGTATTTGTATCCATTAAAAAAAAAATAAAAAAAAAAATAAAAAAGGCATTACCCTCAACAAAACCCTCCCATTTTCATAATTTTTGTTTCAATGAGGAATGCTTCAAATGCGCTACTTCTTTTTAAAGAAAACCAGATATAAAAATGTTAAAATACATTCTTTTTATTATTTACTGAACTAAAACTAATTTTCATAACTGGTCCATAAAATTACATATAAAGGCTTACTAGAAGAGATAAACAGGAGTACAGTAATGGAGGAAATAAATGTTTTAAAGTTTTCATAAATTTGTATAAACTACCAACATGGACCACCAGTCTTTGCAAAAACAACCACTAACTGAACTCTTCAACTCATGACTTTACTTACAGTAATAATAACATCCAGTCCATTCACTTATTTAAAAGTGAACACACTCATGTATTGTTATTTGGGTCTGACATTGTATTTATGGTAATAGGAATCAATGAAACAAGGAGCCATTCTTGTGTCTGATGGTCACCAAGGCCCTCTACTCTAAATACAGTACTATCTGCAAGCTGTCATTATCATTCCTTTCACTTAATGTACTGAAGCTAAATAAAATATATAGTGATCTTTTAAAACAAATTCTAAATCTTTATCATTATCATCACTGTTTGTTATTTCTGAGAAGCAAAAAAAGCAAAGCTGTTCTACACAAGTACATTCACATTACACAATTTTATATGAGACCTTATGCTTGCCACTCATTGAATTAACCCATGAGGGCCTTGAAACACCATCCTGTGATTTCAAGGTAACATATAGTACAAACTGTATTCTGATGGTATCATTAATATATAAAAATACATTTCCTATGAGACTACAGATCACCAACTGTCTCCCTTCCATACAATACATTTCCAATACAAGGTAGAATTTTCATTGAAGTATTAACATAAACCTGCAATTATTTAAGCATGTAATCATAATTGTAAAAAAATTATCTTGAATGAACTGTTGTGCCAGTGTTGAAGTAATGTCCAGGGTGATCATAACACTGTGCACTACGCCATTTACTCTTGTATTGTGTCATGCACCATATACAATGAAGTACCATATGCAAATCTAGACACAACATTTGAGTTAAATGAGCAGCAAGTTCGATGTTACTGTTATTTTTGGAATAACTAAATGATGGTTTAAGATTCTTATGGCTAGTTAATTTGATCAATATGTATTTATTAATAACAATTATAAAAAATCGTCTTCACTTGTTTTGCTGTCAAGAGCAGAAAACTGATAAAAAAGATACAAGGTAACTTTATTGAAAACTAAAAAAAATCATCTTCAGTAATGCAGTTTTCCACCTGTTTCAGATAAGGCAACATGTACAGTATGTAATACAGGGTACTTGATCACATAAAAATAGCTGTAAAATATTGATACTGATGATGATGATATACACCGTGAGCTATTACGACATGTTTAGAACTAACAAAACAACAATTAAGAGAAAAATGCTGAAAAAATAAGACTGGCTAGATAGTCAACAGCCTACTGTAAAGTAACAATGAACAGCCTACTGTAAAGTAACAATGAAGAAAATAAGCATTATAAAATTGTGATATTCTATTATGCTGTTGTTGTACATAAAACTACATAAAAATGCTCCATACACAGGAACACAACCTAATGTAGGAACCACAAAAACCAGTGATCTTGACCGGTACGAATAACATAATAAAAAAAAAAAATCTTTCAAATAAAACAAATATGATTGTATGAAAACCAAAGTTAATAGATGATGGACATTGTCTCACCATAAAACCCCCACATTTACGGGAACTACTGCATAGTCAATCTAACATAACTACATTTAAGAAAACCTGGAAGTAATTATTCATATGTTACTCATTATTTTTAAATTTTCATTAATTTTGAGCTATTACCCGGTATGTTAATATTAAAGTACCTGTACTGTAAATGAAACTGTATCATGACACAGAAATGTTATTCACCTATCAACTTTGGTTTCCATGCATTACTGATAGGGAAACTATATACAGGTGCTCCTCTACTTACGAACGAGTTACGTTCCTGAGGTTTGTTTGGAAGTCCAACTTTACTCTTGTAGATACCAAACTTATTATAAAAAATGAAAATATTATGGATATTTAGTACAGCTATACCCTTTAATACAGCCTTAAAACCTGGCTCACTCTTCTCCTCTTAGGTAATGTTTGTTCTATCTGGAATTTTCTTCAAAATAATCCAGTCTCATCCACATTAAACACCTGTTCTGGCAGGTAACCCCCCTCAGTGATGATGTTTGTATCTCTGAAAGTTTGTAGGTTGAACGTTCTTAAGTAGAGGAGCACCTGTACTGTATATATCTTATGTTGAAATACTCCTACACTATCTAATTGACCTTGGACATCTTATGAACACAAACTCTGAACACAAATTTACCCTTTTAAGAAATAAAAAAAATATTGTAATTCGCATAGACAACTGACAAATTCAGCATATTGCTCTGGCATCATAATAAATGAAGCTAGAAAAATAATATTACTTGTATTTACAAATTTGTGGTACCTTTAAGTCTTTAACAAACTCGAAAAGAATTAACAAATCTATTTAACCATGTCATCAATAACCAACAGATGCACATGGCATCTCATTTTCTACAGTATATACTATAGTACTGTACTATACAGTAAACCACCTTAGCTTTCTCATGCAATTTTTTATAAACATTTATTCATATTTATAATACAGTACAATACAGGTAACAGTCATCATCCAAGGCAGCAGTTAGACTGCAATTTAAAGTTTGACAAACCAATACAAGTACTGTACTGT